TTGCATATGTATTCAGCTTATATCGTTGTTAAGATTTATATACTGTGTTGGATTATTTCTACTAGGTTTTGGCTCACCCTATATGAGAAATCATTTTTAGGTGCTGATGATATGCCTCCACCAAGATCATAGCTTGGGAGGAACTTGAAGCTGAAGGCTTCTTTTTTTATTATATGATGTATTTGTTTTGTACAAGCCAAAGGCTTTTAACTGTATTGGACTTTAAATCTATCTTTGTTGTAACCAAGCATTGTCTTGGGAAGTTGTAAACCTTTAAGGCATTTATTATCTGATTAACTTTTATTTCATATTTCTCGTTATAACACATGCTATAGATTTAGGGTTAGGATTTATGAATGTATAATCGCATGTGTTATCTTTTCTAAATCTGAATCATATGAAATGGAAGAACATTGTAATTAGAATGCTTGTCATTATTTATTTTTGAGAAAAGAGTTTGTTACTATTTATTTCAGGGCATGACATATAATTTCTCTAATTAAAAATTATATTGTTGAAATAATTTGACAGTGACAATCAGAAAAAATAATAAATATTATAAATATTAATAATTAAAATCATAAAATTTTTCACCACTATGTAATAATTTTTCAAAACCCACCTTCAATGGTAATTTTTTTTAAAAAAAATTCTTTCTAAGTTCTCTTTTAAGAAGTGCAAAAAAAGTCAGCTTATTGACTTTTTAACTTATGGATAAGTCTATTTACACACAACCAAACCTTTTAGTATATACAATTTTCTCAATACACACCACACATTTTAATTGTTTGATTTCTTCTCACTTCACACGATCAATTTTCAAAAAAATCCTAAATTACCCTCATCTTCTTCAACTCTTTAATTGATCTCATCCCAAACCCTAACCCTAACTATGATTGTCAACCACCACCTTAACCCCAACAGTCTACTCCACATCGCCTTCCTCTTCTCTAACAAACCCTAACCCTAGCCACTGCATCGCTTACCGTCAGTTGCCACTCCATCCCCTCTAATCGACGATTCCTCCATAGCACCCATTTCCACCTTGTCGCACCATCTCTCCTCTCTTGTCACAACCAGTACTTGCTAACCCCTCTCCTAGCCGTGTCGTCCCTTTATGCTCCCTACACCCGTGACCTATTATCCTCCTTCATCTTCATCTTTATCTTTTTTTTCGTCCAGATTTGAAACCCTAGAGTTTCTCTCTCTCTCTCTCTCTCTCTCTCTCTCTCTCTCTCTCTCTGTGCGGTGGAGGAAAGTACGGGGTTGCATTGCGATGAAGAGAGTATGGCGATGGCTGAGGTTTGGGGTGAGGGCTATCAGCTATGGTGGTGATGGATGGCAGGGCTATTTGCGATGGTAGGGATAAGAGGATGAGTTGTTTGCGATGAATTGTTTGCGGTGGTAGAAAGTTGCGTGGTGGGCTGCGATTGTAATAACCCGACCCTCGCCCATGTTTCTGACATACTTTTAGTCCCTGAATCTGTACCTTTATATGCTTATTGTGAAACTCCATATGGAATTAGGTTTAATTAAGAGAACTTTATGATTATAGATTTATATCTGTTTAATAAGAAAACATATCTGTCACAATTAAAATGTTTGGATTAGGAATTGAAAGCCTTAAGAGATCAATAATTCGAAATTAATTTTATATTTGAGATCAGTATAATTTTTTTAGTCATGATAAGTACTTTTGTGAAATTTCAATTATGAATGATTAAACTGATTAAATTTTATCTTTATTTACTTTTATGTATATCAATGCTTTTTATATCTTTGACTTAGGGGAAACCATCACTTAACAAAACAAAAACAAAAATAAATATCTCCTGGAGAGGGTTAGAAAGAAGGGAAAAGTTTGAGAGGAGGAGAAGGAGGCTCTTCAAAGAAGGAATTAGGGAAAATTTAAAGGATTTCAAGGTATGTCTAACTATTTCTAATTGACTCCAAGGAATTCCCCTATGTTGTTGTGCTAAATGCTTAATGGATTTGGAATTGTGTTGGATCATCTAGTGAGAATTTCACCTTACTTCCTCAATTATCAAACTCGAACCTATTTATATGGATACATGGTTGTATATATGTGTGTATGTGTAAGGAAAGTGAAAATATTGTGGAATTAGATTATGTTCATTAGTTTTGCCGATTCAAGATCCAAGTTATGTTGAGATTGAGATATGTTATAATGTTTATACACATGATTGTTAAACCATATTCTACCATTAAAAGAACCTATTTTGAGCCCTGAAGAAGTGTACCAAAAATTGGGTTTTTCTGCATTTTCGAACAACATTCTACCAGAATTGCTGCACGTGCGGGGCTTCTTGCCGCACGTGCGGGAAGCACTACCGCACGTGCGGGGCTCACAGCCGCACGTGCAGCCCAAGCTGCAAAAATTTAGTCGTTCCGTTTTGCGTGCTTTTGCCGCTGGTATTTTTGAAATATGTGTTTGACGTCTTTAAGATACCTGTAAATTTGTTCGAAGTAAAATGAAACAGGAAATGAATTAAGAAAGAACAAGAACTAATGACTAACTTATGTATGTGTACAGGGCACACTCCAGGAGGGACAAGCACTCCGTTGTAGCACTGTGAGTAATAGTACGGTAGTCGTACGTTCAATCATCGTTAATGATTTTTATCGTTAATATGCTGTTCCTTGCAAGTAATTAAGTTAACAATGGATTGATTGGAAAATCTAGATGCATTATTGAGCGGTATTACAGTTAACAAAGAAGACTAACATTCTGTTATTTACAAGATAGCGATAGTGATTCATGATGAACAAAGGGAACGTATAAGCACTATGGAACCATGGTATTCACGTATCTCTGAAATCATTCAATTTGTAAATGTCACTATTACAAAAAAAGTTAAAGATCACACTTTGACAAGAAAAAAATCTCACTTTTATTGAAAGTGTGATAAAAAAAATTAGATTGATATTTTAATCACACTTAATTTGATTGAGTGTGATAATATGTTTTTTTTATGTCACTTTTTCAATTAAGTGTGATTATATATACATTTTTTTAATCACACTTTCTAATTAAAGTGTGATTATATATACACTACTACTTTTTAATTACACTTTTTAAATAAGTGTGATTATATCTATTTTTTAATCACACATTCTAATTAAAGTGTGATTATATTTATACTACTACTTTTTAATCACACTTTTTAAATGAGTGTGATTATATATATATTTTTAATCACACATTCTAATTAAAGTGTGCTTATTTATATATTTTTTAATCACACCTTTTAATTAAAATGTGATTATATATATATTACTACTTTTTAATCACACTTCCTAAATAGGTGTGATTGTATAAAATATTTCAAATTGATTTTTATATAAAATATACAATTCACAAATTTTTAATCACATTTAATCTGATTGAGTGTGATAATATTTTTTTTTTTATGTCACTTTCTATATATAGGGTAAATTACACTGACACTCCCTGAGGTTTATGTTTATTATAGTTCCCCCCTCATGTTTTAAAAATTACATCTCCCTCCCTGAAATTTAAAGTTTCATTACAGATTCCCCCCTCAGCAATTTAATTTTTTTAAATACCAATTTTGCCCTCACTGAGTAAATTATATTGACACCTCTTACATTTTAGAAATTACAATCCATTTCCTAAGGTTTAAAGTAGTATTATCAATTGTCCCATCGGTTAGTATTAGTTGGAAAAAAAATTTATTGAAAAAAAATTAATTGGAAAAAAAATTAATTGAAAAAAAAATTGTTAGTAAAATTTTTAAATTTCTGTTTAAAAACCAACATAAACTCATTTTTTAAATTTACCTTTTTCCTCAAATTTACAAACTGAAACAACTGTTTATAAATCAAAAAAATTATCAAACAAGTTTTTATGACAGTTTTTTAAATTTTTGTAAATATAAATTGAAAACTAAAAACGAAATGATTAACAAACAGGTTTTAGATGGTAAAAATGTCGTAAAATTAATAAATAATCAAATAAGTTACCAATATAAGAAATGACTTATCAAAAGATTCTTAGGCTATGTATGGCTGGATTTTTAGAAAAAAAAATTAAAAATTAAAAATTAATTTGGTTCAGAAATAAAAAATAAAAATAATTATCACTTTTATATAATTCTTATCTTTCGAGTGGTTAGAAATAATTTTTTACAAATTAAATTAAAACAACCATACGTATGTATATAACTTGCCCAAAAATTAAAATGATAATTATTTTTACACTTAAATGATAATTATTTTTTATTTTTTATTTCTTAACCAAATTAATTTTTATTGTTTTTAAAAAAAATTATAAAAATCAAACCATATGTGGCTTAAGAATCTTTTGATAAATCATTTCTTACGTTGGTAACTTATTTAATTATTTGTTAATTTTACGACATTTTTACCATCTAAAGCTTGTTTGCTAAGGTGCCGTTTGGTAACACTTACGTTTTTAGTTTTCTGTTTATATTTACAAAAATTTTAAAAATTCAAATAAAAACTTGTTTGGTAAATTTTTAATTTATAAATCAGTGGTCTCAGTTTATAAATTTGGCCAAAAATGTAAACTCAAAAAATATGTTTCCGTTTTGAGTTTTGCTTCTTTTTCCCACCCAACACTAGCCACCACTCGCCACCATTTTCCACTACCGTTTTCTGCCACCACCATCCACCACCACCACCACTCACTCACTACCACCTACCACCTACCACCGTCACCCATCCACCCACCACCACCACCAGCCATCCGCCACCTACCTGCCACCACCACCCGCCACCGTCACCCACCACCCGCCACCACCCGCTACCCAGCACCGTTTTCTGCCGCCACTTACCACCACTTGCCATTTCTCACACTTTTTTATATTTTTTAAACATTTTGTCAATTACCAAACGCGTTTGTAGTTTATGTTTTTTTTAAAAATAAACAAAAATCAGTTTATAAAATTTTTGTAAATATAAACTGAAAACGTAAACGTTACCAAATACTGACTCTCCGTATTCCATCCATTTCGAACCAGCTCCTAACCAGAACCTCCTATCTCTCAAAACCTAACAATCTCTCTCTCTCTCTAAAAAACCACCAAAAATGTCCTCCGAATACTACTCTATCTGCATTCCTGGAAGTGGGTTCTCCAGTTCTCTTCCCAGCCTGGAGCTCATTCTCTGCATCTTCCTCATTGCTGCTGTGTTTGGCTTCTGTCTCGCACCAGGCGGCCTCGCCTGGGCTCCCTCAAAGGCGCGAGCCGGGGTTCAATCAAGGTCCGCCATTCCTGGACCCTCTGGTCTACCCATTATTGGACTCGTCTTCGCTTTCGCTGGCTCTTTGACTCTCGCAAATCTCGCTAAGACCTTCGAAGCCGTACCGTTGATGGCTTTTTCGATTGGGTTCACTCGTTTCATCATCTCAAGCCACCCAGACACAGCCAAGGACATTCTAAGCAGCTCGGCTTTCGCAGATCGGCCTGTGAAAGAGTCGGCTTACGAGCTTCTCTTCCACCGAGCAATGGGTTTCGCTCCATACAGTGAGTACTGGAGGAACCTGAGGAGAATCTCGTCGACCCATTTGTTCAGCTCGAAGAGAATCACTTGTTTCGGCGATTTTCAGCAAAAAATGGGGATTGAAATGGTGAACCAAGTCAAGGGTTTGATGGAGAAAAACAGAGTGGTTGAAATCAAGAGAGTTTTACATTTTGGGTCTCTGAACAATGTGATGATGAGTGTGTTTGGGAGGTCCTATGATTTCAATGGATGTGATGGGTTTGAACTTGAGGGTTTGGTGAGTGAAGGGTATGAGTTGCTTGGGATATTCAACTGGAGTGATCATTTTCCTCTTCTGGGTTTGTTGGATTTGCAAGGTGTGAGGAAGAGATGTAGAGAGCTTGTTTCTAGAGTGAATGTGTTTGTTGGGAAGATCATTGAAGAACACAGATTCAAGAGGGCTAAAAATGGAGGTGTTGTGGGTGGTGGTGACGATGATGACTTTGTTGATGTTTTGCTTGATTTGGAGAATGATAACAAGCTTAGTGACTCTGATATGATTGCTGTTCTCTGGCTATTTTTCTCAAACACTCTCTACTAATAAACAATCTTTGTATTTGTTTTTTGAATATTTGTTATTTTGATCTTATTATTGTTTTTTGGAGTAGTTCTTATTATTGTATACTGTTTGTGTAAATGCATGGTTGAAGTAATGGATCTGTTTTATGCTCTTTTTGGGACCTTTGAAGATATGGAGAATCAGAATAAAAATTTTCCCTTCTTTCACATGTTGATATAGAATTTGTGTTTTTGTTATCTTGTTTTGTTTTGTTCTGTTTTCTCCATTTTAGTTGAAAAGGCTAGAAGTATCTATTAATGGTTTGTGCTTAAAAAAACAAAAGATTATAGAAATCTGTTTTCTAAAACAAGTTTCATGGCTCTATCTGGTTTGGTTTTCAGTAATCTTTTCAGAATTATTTTTTTCTGAAAATTTAAAACATAATTTGGTGAAAAAAATAAAAACTATTGATCAATTTTTTGGGAGGCAGAAATAATTTTAAACAAATTTGGGTCGTGGTAGTTATATAAGTTATATAATTATTCGACTTTCCCTCCTTTAAACTTGTTCTCTTTTGTGCTCTTTTCTTCTTTTCTCTTTCATCATTTCATTTCTTTTTTCTCTTTCTATCCACTCTCTACTTATATTTTTTCTTATCTGAAAACAGATACACCAGCACATAATTATTAAAATCTTAGTGGAATTGCTCAACTCTCAAATACTAGAACTGTGGGGGATTGTTCATTTGCTTAGTCTTTTGGAGTTGACCTATCTTGACTTGGTATATTAATTGCTTTTCTTTCTCTACCTTGATTTGAGCTTTAATTTTTGTTGGAATTTAGTTTAGTTTACTCTCTGTTGATGTGTTGCTATAATAATTTTTTGACAAAATCTTTTAAAGGCTATGATTTACTAATGTGTTTATATATACTGTTCAATCATGTTCCATATGTATATGTCATATTTATATATGGTAATACAAACATTTTATACTAGTAATAATCAAATTCATTATTTCTTTCTATTGATGCAGGGAATGAAGAGTCAATGTGATGAGAAAATGTTCAATTTTGTCTTTTGTAAGACAAGAACAGTCTCTACAAAAATAGTACGTTTTTTCATATGCTTCTAGCGGTTTCTAAATTAATTTGTTTTTTTATTTTTCAGGTCAGAAATTTCTTGGAGAGATGTAAAATATGACCAAAGAATTCAAGAACTTAGTTTTTTCAAGTTTTTTTTTTTAAAATATATGTAATCACAGTTAAAAACTTTTTATTAATTTCTTTGTACATACTTTTGAACATTTAACTTTCATTTATGAAATATATTCCGTTATTCCATTCAATATATGGTTGTGATTCAAAATATAGTATATAGTGTGTATTATATTCTTCAAATGCGCGTACAAAAATAATATTGATTATTCTTTAAATATGTCAAATTCTTTTGTTCTAATCATAGGTTTTATTAGTTATTAATCACACTTAAAAGATGTGATCTAAATGTTATTAATCACACTATATCTAAATGTTTTTAATCACACTTAAAAGGTGTGATCTAAATATTTTTAATCACACTATCTAAATGTTTTTAATCACACTTAAAATGTGTGATCTAAATGTTTTTAATCACACTTAAAAGGTGTAATCTAAATATTTTTAATCACACTTAAAAGGTGTGATGAAAGCATTTTTTAATGACACTTAAAAAGTGTGATTAAAAATGACCATTTTTAATCACACTTCCAAAAACCACACTTTAATAAAACTTAAAAGGTGTGATTAAAAAATAAACATCACACAAAAAAAGTGTGATCTTTATCTATATTTGTAGTAGTGTGTGCTTATCTCTCATTAATAATTATCAGGAATGTCCTGTTAAACTTAAGTTAGCTATGTTAACTCATGTGAATGATGTAACGGCTACCAAGTCAACTATGGTAACATATATGAACGATCAAACAAAGGTGTATGCTTCTATATGCTATTAATAGATCAAGTGAACTACGCCATTTCTTAATGAATAATTAGTTAAGACCACGGATTGTTTTATACGTTAATACCTTCTAACCATTATAATAAACAATGGATTGATTTACAAATGACCCAACCTGAAGACAGAATTAAATATCAATGATCTTGTCATGTGACTCACATTATGATGTAAACTGTTCTGTCTTTGGTAAGTGTACTGTAATGACATGATATAACAAGAAATGCTCTATGTTCTGATATGTTACGTTTTGACTTAATGAATAGTTGTCCATATATGTAAAGTACTCATGACATCCGTAGCACATGGCCCTTACCCAGGGGTAATAATATCGTGGTTCAAGGATGTTACAAGTTTACATATGTTACAAGTTCAAGTATGCACAAGTTTAGGTATGTTACAAGTTCACGTATGTTATAAGTTCTCAGTATCGGGGGATTCCTATATGGAACCAACAAGAATACTTTATATTGATTTGTTAACGTTAGCGAAGTGCCAAGTATAATCAAGTATAAATTCTGATTTCTGTTTATGATTCAAGTATAATGCATATGTATGAATTTGTTTCCGTTTATGGTTTGACATAATATGTATGGTTTGGCCTGTAAGACCTATTAATTACTGGTATGGAACAAAGTGCTACATTGTGAGTCACCTCTAGAGTCCATGTGAAACACCTCTTGAATCCATACATATATGAACTAGGCCTAAAGCCAATCTGGGCCTATGGCCATTCTACATGATCTATTAGGCCAGAGGCCATTCTGTATTTTTGGTATGGAGCAACGTGCTGTACGGAACTAAGTGCTGCAGTACAAGTTACCTCTAGAATCCGTACGAGCCACCTCTTGAGTCCATACATATGTGAAAGTTATGAGGCTAAAAGCTGTTCTGTGAAAGTTATGAGGCCTATGGCCATTTTGTATGATTTGTAAGATCTGTTAGTATGAAACAAAGTGCTGTACGGAACTAAGTGCTGCAATGCGAGTCACCTCTAGAATCCGTGCGAGCCACCTCTTGAGTTCATACACACAAGTTTAAGGGCTTAATGCCAATATGTTCAAGGGCCTATTGCCACTTTGTTCAAGGGCTTAAAGCCATATGCTTCAAGATATTATGTTTTAAGTCATTATGTTTCAAGACTAGGCCTAAGGCCGTTCTAAAATTAATCCAGAATCAATTAACCTTATGCCCTCTTTATTTATGTATGCATTGATATATGTTATAATTCAAGTTGAGCATTGCATCGTTTATGTACTATTATTCACTGAGCTTCGCTCACTTTGTGTTATGTCTGTTCTGTAGGTAATTACTTTGGGAGTTCGTCTTAACCCTTGATGCTCACCCTTCAGTTATCAACCCGAGTATGCCCAGGCACCCAGACCAAGCCCATGCCTTTACGTGAAGTTTTGTTAAAATTTTGGCTTGCACTTTAGTTAATTTCCTTAGGTTAAAATGTATGTATATGACCCATTTCCTTACCAATGTCCGGCTTTTCGCTCAATATTGTGTATGGGTATGTATATAAATAAACGGCTCTCACGTATGTGATCCTGGCATGTTAGTTTTAGCTCAATGGATATTATTCTATGTTACTTTGTAATATTAAATGTTTCCGTTTAGGCCCCATATGTTATGTAAATCAAGTTAGGTGTATGTTTCTGCATAGGTGATGCCCGAACTTTTAGGGGCGAGTTTGGGGTGTGATAGCGATGGTAGTTGGGGAGGACTATGGTGGTGGCTGGCGACAACAGTCGGAGGTGGGGGTCAGGCAGCGGAAAAGGGAGGCGGTCACTAGTGGTAATGGTGGTATGCATGGAGAGTGTATTGAAAGAGTAGGGTTTAGAAGGATGTCTAAATAGGTAATTTGCAGGACCGGCTCTGACCTAAGGCAGGTAAGGCTTGTGCCTTAGGCCCCAAATTTTGGCCTAAAAATAGGGTCCCAAATTTAAAAAATAGTTATAGGCCCAACCTTTTTTTTTTTTTTTAAGATCAATTTAAAGGGCCCAAAATGTTTTGTTGGGCCCATGCATAATTTAGCCCATATTTATATATAAATATGTTTGGCCCATATTTATTAAAATGAAAATATATAACAAAAACAAAAAAAAAAAAACAAAAACAGAAAATGTGTTTGGGCCCAACCCAAACCATACATACAATATACAACATCACTTCAGTGCATTGCCAGTGTGCTTTTGCTTTCAATCTCTCTCTTTAACGAAGTGATGAAATGAAGACGGAAGTATGTACACCAAGTTGAAGGCAGACGCAGAGCACAGCATTGTGAGCAACTTACTCTCTCTCTTTCACACACTCCTCCGGCGATTCACTCTCTCTCACACACTCTCTCTCTCATGGTAAGTCCTCTCTCTCAGTATCAGATTTTATTAAATAAAGTTGCCATAATTTTTTTTCTATATTCTTTCTCTATCAATTAGTAGAATAATAAATTTGCCCTAATTTTTTTGTTACCTTCTTTATCCATTAGATTTTAGTGGAATAAATAATTTAGCCTAATTTTTTTACCTAGGTATTTATCAGTTTTAATTGAATAATTTTTTTGCCCTAATTTTGTTTCATTAAATTGTTTTTTTATAATTTATTTGCTATCAGATCAGTGGATTTTGATTTGTGGATTCACGTTTTAATTGAATATTTTTTTGCCCTAATTTTGTTTTATTAAATTGTTTTTTTATAATTTATATGCTCTCAGATCAGTGGATTGTGATTTGTGGATTGAAGTGTTTGTGATTTGTGGATTGAATTGAAGTGTTTGTGATTTGTGGATTGAAGTGTTTGTGATTATAGCCATGTTTCTTAGGAAGTATAGTTCAAGTATACTTAAATAAAAAATTTGTAGATGCTTATCATTTTATGCATAAATTTTTTATTAAAAAAATATATATATTAGAGGGGCTCTATTTTCATAGTTTGCCTTAGACCCCACAAATCTCAGGGCCGGCCCTGGTAATTTGATTAAGGGACACAAATATAATAAAAAAAATCAAAGTGATGGTGTATAATGAGAGAGATTGTAGTATGTAAATAGACTTTTTCTTAATTTATCTAGATCAAATTATCTTTTACTTTTTAGATGTCATTTTATAATATGTAAAAAAATAACCAGTGTGCTTAGTTTCTGTTTTCTAAAGTTAGTTATTTGAAAATTGAGTTTTTTATTTTTTGTGTTTTTTTATTTTTCGTTTTTAGTGAATTTTTTTTTTAATTTTAAGAAAATTTTAAATTTTTTTAAATGCACCTTACTTAGATGTATCTAAATAGTAAAATATTTGTGAAAAAGTATTTTAAAAAATTAATAAATTCATAAAAATATTAAAAATATACTGAATTTTTGTATTTTTTGGTATTAAGTGTATTTTTTAAATATTATTTTCATAAATATTATACTTTTTAAGTGTATTTATGTTAATTGTGTTTAAAAATTAAAATAATTGCTTAAAATATTAATAAAATTTATTAAAAATATTAAAATACGAAAAATAAAAAAATAAATTTTTTTTAAAAATTATTTTCTAAAAATCAGAACTAAAGAAGTGGAATAATTTTTTTTACACTTTTCAAAATAATCCTAATTATTCAGTTGATAAACGTCCAAAATACAATAAATGGCACTCTCCTACAAGTGGGCCCAGCTGGATTCCACTGACAACACACATGTCTCGTGGATCACTACGTGGTGTTATCACATGGTGCATGAGAGCAGTGAATAACTCTTTCAGTATCTGTCATTTCCAGTGGTCAACAGTCAATCTCTGCTAGACTGTAAAAATTTTCATTCCACGTCGGCAAAGTAAAATAAAATTGTTAAAATAATATGAGACCCGATTGAGACCTCACTCCTCTCACCAACCCCATGCACATGTGTGAGCTGATGCTTAGAGATGAAAGGGGAAAAAAAAAAATTTAGCTAATCCCAACCAACTGGGATCCTGAAAGTCACCTCAGTGGGAGTTTGAATCATTTTTCAAATAATATTAGATTTAGAGATACAAAATATTCTAGGAAAAATCATAAGATTAATGATTCGTAGTATGAAAAAGAGAAATTTGAATGGTCTGAATAGGTGTTAGTCGGTCGTTCACCCGGACGATCAGGTGAAAATTTGTCTTTCGTAGATGTCACCTTTGTTGACAGCGACTGTCAGCCTCTTCGCCAGACGTCTGCCATAGTGAATTTCGAGCCAATTTCCTTTTCGGACTACCAAGCATCACTCAAATCACAAAGGATAGTGATAGAGAGTTATAGGCTTCGTTTGAGAAGTAGGGTTAGGATTATTTTAGTTATAAAAAGATAAAATAAATTTTTTAATCTAATAAGACAAAATATCACATTTAACTTATAATCATTATAATCTTTCTTTAATAAAAAGTAAAAAAAACTAAAAAAAAAACCTTTCTAAACGAGGCTTTTTAACTCTAAGCTAAAAAAATCAAAAAATCAACCCACCCTCCAAACAAACCCCTAATACTAGAGCTCTAACATGAGCTCTAGTGAAATGTCAAAAAAAAAAAAAAAATCAAAATATCACATCACCATGTGAAATCCACAATTAAAACATCATTTGAGACTCACAATTAAAACCTCCTAACATTATTAAAATCACAAATTAGTAATAAGAACGCCCCACCCCAACCCTACCCAAATTACAAAATTATAAAAAAAATTTATCACTTTAATTATTAAAGTTGGTAAACTTTACAATTGAAATGCAATTTTTTTTTTTTGGTCATACACTGAAATATAATTTGTCTAATATTCTATCAAATATTTATATAGATGTGTAACTTACACCCATCTAAGTATATAATAAGATTTTTGATAAATTATTTGGTGTCTAGTATTTTTAAAATGGTTAATATGGGTAAATTATCAATAAGTCTTAATAGTTACACTTAATTCCCATCAAGTTCTATTGAAAATAAGTTTTGGTAAAATTATCGCTAAAAATAATTTTTTTTGTGACAATTTTTTATATATGTCACTAAAAATTGACAATTAGTGGTTTTTTTTTGCCATGATTTTTATAAATTATAGTTAAAACTTACAAGTAGTGACTTTTTTTATGACAAATTTTTTTCATAGGACCTATTAGATAATAAGTCCACTTATTAGTAGTTCACGTAAGTACGTAAACTACTAATAGGTCCTAATAGTTTGACTTAATTCCCATCAAATCTTATTGAAAATAAATCTCGGTAAAATTGTTGTTAAAGATAATTTTTTTGAGACAATTTTTTATATATGTCGCTAAAAATTGACAATTAGTGACTTTTTTTTGTCATGATTTTTATAAATTGTCGCTAAAACTTACAATTGTGACTTTTTTTTGTCATGATTTTTATAAATTGTCGCTAAAACTTACAATTAATGACATTTTTTATGACAAAATTTTCCCATAGGACCTATTAGACAATTGTTAATTTTTAGCAACATATACAAAAAATTGTCACAAAAAAATTATTTTTAACGACAATTTTACCAAGACTTATTTTCAATAGAACTTGATAGGAATTAAGTCCAACTATTATGACTTAGATCAAATACAAAATTAAACACAGAAACTATTCATTTAAACGACCGGTCGGATGATCAAGTGGTCGACCGGCCAAAACTTGTCGACTGTAGCTATCATCTTGTCATCCGATTGACCATCCAATCATCCAGTTGATCGTCCAAATAAACAATTTCTATGTTTAATTTTGTATTTAATTCTCCTTATGTACGTGACATTATTGAATGATTGATTACATCACCACGACCTTAAACAATTAAAGATTATTATTTTATTTTTGTTCTTGACTTCGTACATATTAATCAAAATTATATATAATATATTTCTTTTAGAGATATTTTACAAGGCATAAAAGTGACATATTTTTATGACTGAACAAGTCAAAAATATATAAAAATTTAAAAATAAAATGGTTAAATTACGCTGACATACCTTAAAGTTTAAATAAAATACAGTAAATTTTATAATTTTGATATAATTATACTGACTTCCTATTTAGTAAGGTTAAAGAAATAAAAACCAATGCATATGATATGAATACAAAAAGATATACAATGTAAAATAGATGATAACATCATTTTTTCATTTATACGATTAACAAATTTTTAATGAAAAGTGGATTAAATGTTATATAAATTAATCTTTTAAAAGAGTTCAGTATAATTATGTCAAAATTATAAAAATTATTGTATAATTTTCAAACTTTAACGAAGATCAGTGTAAGAGCATCTTTAACGTTTATTTTTTTTCCCCTATCAAATTTGAATAAAATTTCATCTAATATCGAGCGTTCCAACGGAGTAATCTGGGATTTTATCAAACCATTGATAGATCGGAAGGGCAACTAAGGGGATGTTCAGTTGGTTGATTAGCTAGTGTAATTTTTTCAGATTCTGAAATAGATTTTCCTTCAATTTTGCAAGGACGTGGCCGACCGACAGCCTGTCATTCGGTGCTCATTTATTGTCCATCAGTCACCTGTAAACTGACGGCTATGTACAATAATTTGGTAAAAGGTCCTAACATCCTCAACTTGATAAAAATTTTGAGGTATTTTTAATTTGATACTAATTTGATGATAATGTTGGAGCACCAATTTTGTATGTTTTTCATTAAATTTAAATTTGATAAAATAAAAGGTGAAGTGTTGAAGACTGCTCTAATCTATTCAAATAAAATGATATTCAAATAAATGAATAGATGTATAATTAACTCTAAATAAAATGTATTCAAATAATTGAATCGATGTATAATTTATACTATTATTAAATGAAGACCTAAATTAATTTGGTGAAACCTTCTTCTTCTCATATCACATGACAACTTTATATATACTAAAATAAAAAAAAATTATTATACACCACCACATAAGTAAGTTTTGAACACAAGACTTTAAATTTCATTAAAAATATATTTATTACTTAAATAACATACATATTATAATATTAAATTTTTTATTATTAATTATTTAAATTATACATGTATCACGTGCGCCATTGCTAATTAATTCTAAATAAAGAACCAACATTTACCAAAAATAAATAAGATCATAAGAGTGTTGCGCTCCTGGGCCTCACTCTTATAACGTGCACCCCCTTCACGTTGTCTCCTTTCCTCCCTCTGTCTGAGCTGTTTTGCGGTTGAGAATTTATTCAGTGATTCGGTAACACCATATAAATCATGCACTTAGAATGAATTTAATAACCGAACAGTGTTTGAAGTTTTCTTAAATTACTATCTCAATTTGAGACAACATTTAATTTTATTATGCCTATTTCTAGCTATTCAATTTTTAAAACTCGTTAAGTAGAATATTTTTTTGTATAAAAAATTAAGATAATTAGATATTAATAATTATACGTTTTAATCATATTTGTTTTTATAAAAATAGATCACAAATATAATTTCAATAATAGACATTCATTTTTTGTAATATAATTTTTTTTTCAAACATATAGTTACTGATATCTAATTATTTTAATTTTTTGTTTGAATATTCTACTTAATGAGTTTTGAAAAGTGAACGGTTTGATTCACCGAAGTTGATTTTAAACTGAACTTATCAAACCTAAACACTTTGAGATGGCTAATTTGAGAGAAACCAAATTATTTGAAAAATGCTAATGATTATTTACGGAAAGCTATAATACACACCATTTGAGGGTGTACCATATGCACCTTATGCATATGAAAAATGTTAGAGATTTTAAAAGTGTTACCAAAATTTCTACCAAATGTCTCACACGGTGTGGGACTCATGTGAGACATTTAGTAGAAATTTTAGTAAAATTTTTAAGATCTCTATCATTACTCTATAAATAAAGGAAAAAAATAGTATAATTTTATATTTTCTGAGTGATAATTAAGAAAAAAGTTATAACCAAACACCACATGAAGTATAACTGAAGATCGGGAAATTATTCAATATTCCTAGAGTACTATGTGTCTGTATTCCTTAACCAATTATCATTCAATATGCCTCATCGTGTTCCTTAATCATCTAACACAATATCTCACCTACTCACCTTCTCCATCAACCACAAAACTATAAAATACCATGTGTTTATATTGCGAAATTACTAAATAATCACCTAAAGACCTCATAAATCATAATTTTTTTAAAAAAATTATATAATCAGAACCACATATAGTATACCTTTTTCAAGATGTGTGTGTACTAAAATTTTCCGCCACGTATTTCAATCATATTATTTTATTATCTAATATGTCCGAACCCAATTATTAGCATTACATTTGAAATATATATGAGCCGTGGGTTCCTTGCCGCAATATTATAAAAAAATGTGACAAATAAAATATTATTACCCATCTATAAGTGTCCACTCAGATGTGTTATTAAATTTATAAAATATAAATTTTGATTTTGATTTAAAAATATATGTATGTAATTATATGTTGCTGAAAATATGTTGTTGTTTCTCATACTAAGGTCTTGTTTATCAATTATATATTTTAGTCAAAAAATCAAAATGTCATTATAAGGCCTAAGTTCTTAAGTTCAAACAATCATTTACTTAGCTTGCGTCCTAAAACCTTATTTAACAAAAAAATTTGGGTTCATTACACCTTTTACATTTGTAGTTTGATTTAAATTTTATTATTTTTCATAATTTTAATTTGAACAATTTGTCTACATATTTACTTTAGAAAATTGACAAGTATCCCAAAATTATTAATTTTAACCTCAAATTCAAATGGAATTACCAAATTGAAACTTTAGAAAAATTATTAATTTTAATCTTAAATTTAAACGGAATAACTAATTGAAACTTTAGAAATTTGACAAGTGTCTCAAAATTTTTAATTTTTAACCTCCAATTTAGACGGAATGAATAAATTGAAACTATACTTGAAGTGTGAATATCAAATTATTTAAATTGAAACTATAACAATTAAAATAAAATTTATGTCAAACCATAAAAATGAAAAGCTTAACTAATTCAAAAAATTTCAAACAAGTGACCACATAAAAAATTTGATGATATAATGCAATAAAAATTAATAAATGTTGCACAATTTCTTACTTAGGTTATAATTTTAGGGTGAAATATTAATAAATATCAAATAGTGGTTTTATGAACGGTTTGGTCCTTCATTTTTTTTATGGACCTAAAAGTCTCATTTTAGTTTGAATTACACAAATGGTCAAGTATAAACGCGTGTGTTATGTGTTGAAAGACAAATATGAATTTTTTCATGATGTTAAAATTACTAAATGTAACACTTTAAAAAAAAAAACTCCTTAATGTATTTTTTTTTTTCCAAACATAACACTTTAATGTAATATACTAAAAAACCTCATTAATATATTTTTTCCAAATGTAATACCCCAATCAATATAACATACAAAAACTTCTTAGTATACTTTTTTCAAACGTAACACTCTAATGTAATACACTAAAAAATTCCTTAATGTATTTTTTTTAAATATAACATGTCAATGTAACATACTAAAAACTTCTTAGTATATTTTTTTCAAATATAACAATGTTACATTTCAAAAAAACTCCTTAGTGTACTTTTTTCAAATGTAACATTTCAATCAATGTAACACACAAAATCTTCTTAGTGTACTATTTCTAAACGTAACACACCAGTATAACAGACTAAAAAACCTCCTTAGTGTATTTTTCTTAAACGTAATTATGTAACATTCTAAAAAAGCTCATTAGAATATTTTTTTTTTCTCTCCAAATGTAACACTTTAATTAATGTAATACAAAAACTCCTTAGTATATTTTTTTCAAACGTAACACTTTAATGTAACACTAGAAAACCACACTAACAGAAACATATAGATTTTCACGCTAGACAATTAGCCACCAATCTCTCCAAAGGGAATATTCCACGCCTCACATTTCTATTCCAACCCAAAAACCGAATCATAAAATTGAAAAAATAAATCATAAAAGTACTTTCACTTAAACTCAAATGGTACCAAATCAAATAAATACAAATTTTCAAAATAAAAAGGAAACGGGTTCATAAGAAAATTCTTAGAATTAAATGGATCAATATTCCCCATATGAGATTTATGAGTAAATTTTCTATAATTTTTTTATTATTGTTGCAATTGCAAAGTCCCTTTTCAAATATCAAATTATCATTATTTTTGTTCAACACTTATCATATTTTTAGGAAAAATCCCATAATTATAATATTATTATACTTCATCCATCCAAAAATATTGATCCTTTTTAGGGAATTTAAATTTCTTTGGTACTATAATTATTACATTTTAAAAATATTAAATTTTTAAAATTACTCTTTGATTTAAAATTAAAATAGTATATATATATATATATTTGAGAACATTGGTCGTCATAATTATACTTTTGTATATAATGTTAATGAATTAAAAAGAATGAAAAAATAGAAAATTCATTTTATTTTAGTGCTTAATTTTTGAAAATGAACTAATATTTTAGGATAATGAAAAATAGAATAAGTGACTAATATTTTGAAACAGAGGAAGCAGTTATTTTTATTTTAGGGTTGAGGATTTCTTAAATTTAAATATAAACTTGAGGGTTTGTGAAACTCATCAATTCCGTTTAGATAATTCGAATAGTTCATTTTGTAATATTCTTACTATGCATCATTCATAACAAAAGATTCATAACAAAAGTTAATTCGACAATTATAATTTTTTTTTGTTGGGTAAATTACAAATACATCCCTGAGGTTTACTTAAATTACGAATTATCTTTTATGGTTCTAGAAATTACAATATGCCCCATAAGGTTTCTAATTTTATAACACATAGGTCATTTTATTAATAAATTATCAAGCTAATTAACAGTTTTTAATAATGTTAAAATTTTATTTCAATTAATAATTCAAATAATTTTATTATTGTATAGTTAAACAGTTAAAAATTTCACTTTTTTAATTAATTTTGTTAAATAAAAAATTCTGACAAAGAAGTATTTATAATTTTTCAAATCACAAGAAAAATTCGTATTTTAAACAAATTTAGAGATGTATTTATAATTTACTCTTTTTTATTTTATCACGTTTGCTACTAAAAAATTTAATGAGTCTATTTTAAAAAACATATTTGTCATTCAAATTCTTTTAAAGACCAACATCATAAAAAAAATATTACGAATATTGAATTAATATTTTTTTTTCAATGAACAATATAAATTGAGAACTCTTTAAAATAAATGATTTAAATCATTTAAAAATACTCGACTCTTTCATAAATTTGAGAGATATTTAAATAAATATATAATTTTTTTTTAAAAAAAATTAAATTATTTTTCTTTGCTCCCACCCACCAATAATTTTTGTGGTTTAATGTCTGTACCCTCGTTGTCACCCTATCACATGACACACAAATAACGACATCCCAAATCTCCCTCCCTCCCTCCTTCCCTCACGTCCCCGCTCCTCACCCTCTCTCTCTCTCTCTCTCTCTCTCTTCTTCTCTCTCTAAACAACAACAACAACAAGAAGAAGAAAGATGAGAGAAATCTTGCACATTCAGGGGGGTCAATGCGGTAACCAAATCGGTTCCAAGTTCTGGGAAGTGATCTGCGACGAGCATGGCGTTCAACACGACGGCAAGTACAAGGCCCCTGAAGGAGGAGAACCGTCCGATCTCCAACTCGAGAGGATCAACGTCTATTTCAATGAAGCCGCCGCCGGACGATACGTCCCTCGCGCTGTCCTCATGGATCTTGAACCTGGCACTATGGACAGTATCAGATCCGGTCCCTACGGTCAGATCTTTCGTCCTGACAACTTCGTCTTCGGTCAGTCCGGCGCCGGCAACAACTGGGCCAAAGGTCACTACACCGAAGGCGCTGAGTTGATCGATTCTGTTCTCGATGTTGTTCGCAAGGAGGCTGAGAACTGTGATTGTCTCCAAGGTAATTTCCAAGTTTTTTTTTGGATGCGTTTGTTTGCAAGGAGGCTGAGAATTGTGATTGTCTCGATTCTGTGAAATGTGAATTTCAATGAGTTTCTAGGTTAGATTATAGCGTAATGCCGGTGCTGATTTCACATCTCGTATTTGTAGGATTTTCATAATCGGTATATCACTAACGAATCTTTATTGTTAAACTCACATATTTCTCTTTATATATACATGCTTAATGGTGTTTGTTTATCACTTTCTCTAGATAGGGATGTAAGTTTTGCTTGGTTCGGATTCATTTCCATGTGATTGTGTTGTAGCTTTTCGATGCTCTGTTATAAACGTAATTTGAGTTTTGATGCAATTGTTTGCTATATAAAGTGTTCTAAATCTCGCTTTTCTTTGTTGATTCTGTCAAATGTGAATTTAAAATAGGTTTTAGGTTAGATTATATCATTTGCACCTTAATGTCGGTGCTGCTTTCTAGAGTAGCATTTCGTTTATTATCTTGTATTTGTGGGATTTTCATAATCCGTATATCAATAACAATTTTCTGTATTGTTATACTCACATATTTATCTGTATATATAAGCATATATACATGCATAATCGTGCTTGGCTTGAATTCATTTCCATCTTATTGGAAGGTAGTTTTGTTTTGTTTTGTTTTTGTTTTTTTTTTCTTTTTTGTTTTTTTTTTTCTGGTAATCTGTTATAAATATCATTTGTGTTTTGATGTGATTGTTTTGCAATATAAGTAGTCTAAATCTCATTTTGCTTTGTTTTAATTATGTGAATGTGAATTTAAATAAGGTTTTAGTTAAGATTATATGATTTGCAGTGTAATGTCAGTGCTTGTTTTCCAGAGTAGCATTTCGTTTATGATCTGATCTCATATTTGCAGGATTTTTATACTCAGTATATGAATAATGAATTTTCTGTCTTGTCATTTAATATTTTTACTGCTAATGTCTATAAATCACATTGGTTTGATTAAGATGCTGAACAAGGAATGGTTTCTCAATGGAATCAAAATTTTGCAGGATCATGTGTTTGATTGTTGTTGCCTTTTAAATGTAGAAAAATTTTAAGTGGTTTGAATTCCTACCCCCTTTCCCAAATTTTCAATTGTTTTTATATTTCTCTTAGCCTTTAGTCATTTCTTCTGGAAATCTCAAACTTCCATATGTTTATTAGTTTTATTGAATATTTAAATGTGTTTAAATATATGATAACCATGAATCTGAAATACATAATGCATCATGCTTCTATAGTCGATTGTCCTTCATGACTTTTGGGAGGGACTAGAAGCATCATTCTCTGTTTTTTATATTTTGGAGTTAACCTTTATTTGCTGCAATGTTTTGGTTTGAGAATAGGCTATTTTAGTAATTTTTTAACTTTTTAGCTAAAATATAAGATGAAAAAAACTAGCATGTTTGGGATTCTTTTGGCTTTTTATGAAAAAAAAAAGTGCAAAAAGTAGAAATGAAAGAGAATCTCTGAATTTTTTATATAGCTCTTTAACTTTTTGGCCTTTTAGTGACTTTTTGACTTTTTAGTACTTGCCAATTAAGGTTGACTTGACACAGCAATATTACATATTCTTTTTTATTATTATCAGTTAGCATTCTATATTTTATTTTAATGTAGTTATTCCCAATCTTTAGTTAGTCATCTTTTGCTATGTTTGGATGCAACATTTCACAAGGAGAAAGAAAAAGAAAGGGAAATGAGAATACTTGTATCATTTATTTTTCTATGGGTAATCACATAAAAATTGAAATTTTGAGGAAATACTATTTTCTTCTTATTTTCATCTCAACAAAACAAAACCAAGAAATTTAGATATTTCATTTCATTTCTCTTTTCTTTCTTTCATTTTCACTTTCACTTTCCTTTTCTTTTTACTTAACAAATCCAAGTTTCTAAACATATGCACAACAACTTCTACGCTACCGTGTCGCAGGCGCTTCGCAAAAAATAAATTAAAATTGCTCCAAATACCAAACCTATAGGTTATTACCTGAATGGGACTGAATAGGTGTACTTGTTGCAGTCCATCTTTGATTTGTTAAATATGTGACATTGATATTTAAGGATGAGCCCTGTTATGGCGCAGCCAGTTGATCTGTTTTTGTCTTAGTATGGAGATGCTCCAGAATATTGTCTTGTTTCAATGTGTAAACTAATTATAAGATATATGGTTTTGTCGTTCTGATTGTGATTTAACAACATAAGAAACAATAGCATCATAATTTTTTCTTCCTTTACCAAATTGACATGAACAATAATGCTATTTACACAGAACACACACACATACATTAGTCACGTATATTATTGTAAACTTATTAACTACATAAGTTTTGAATAATGTACACTTGAGTGTGTGACTAATGAAAAATTTTTTTACTGAGGGAATTAATTTTCAGATTCTACATCTACATATTAAAGGATAAGTTTTATTATATGCCCTCTTTCCGGGCTAAGAAGGCATGTTTGCACCCCTTCAAGCAGTAGCCCAAAGTGAAGAGAGTAGTTGTAGAGATGGCTAGAGACTAAAAGTGGAACAATGTTAAAGCTAACAGCAGCATCATTAGTACTAATAATGCAATTATTTGATGACTGCTGCAATTGATGACATCAACAACTTTATAATAGATAGCATATTAAGGTTTTGATTGTCTTTTAACTGCCTCTCACAGGGGGAGTGAATGTTATTACTCTTATCGTAATACCTCATACTTTTATGATATGATAAAAGTTCCTAACCTAGTTGGCCACCATGACTTTCCTAAGGGTAGGGGGAGGTCATGGGTTTAACTCTCCCTAGAGGAAGTTGAATTAAGGGGGCAAGCACTTGTTGCTTTGCAAAGGATGGGGAGGCTAGCTTCTATAAATGCTAATCTAACAACTAACAATTAACAACAGACTTTCGCCGATCAAAAAAAAAAGAAAAGAAGTCTTTCAATACATATTGCTTGGTTTATGTTGAGCAATCTTACTTGGTTTTCTTCTAATACATATTGCTTCTTTCTTTAGTATTTTATACACCAAAAAATGTGGAAAAGGCTTAAGGTGTTTGCTGTGGCATTTTTTGTGAACAGATATGTTAAAACGAAGAACGGTACTGGTTAATCAATAAACATATAGCCTCAGGGTTGATATTCTAGAGTCTAGACATGGGGATGGGAATCCGAGCTGTATGTAATTTTTGCAGTATCAGTACAGTTTTTGATTGTTTGATCGGTTTGTCCAGTGAATAAAGTCATCTGTTGAGCTTAAGATACACTGGTTTTCTCTCCATGTGGCGTACATTAACACTGAGGATACTTCTTTGCTAGAAGTGTAGTACTGTCTGTTTAATGCAAAATTGCCTGATGTCTGTGTTGTTCTAATTATTTATGGGCCAGGTTTCCAGGTGTGTCACTCTCTCGGAGGAGGCACTGGTTCCGGCATGGGAACCCTCTTGATCTCGAAGATAAGGGAGGAATACCCAGACAGAATGATGCTCACATTCTCTGTTTTCCCTTCGCCAAAGGTGTCTGACACAGTTGTTGAACCCTACAATGCCACCCTCTCTGTGCACCAGTTAGTAGAGAACGCTGATGAATGCATGGTTCTTGACAATGAGGCACTCTATGACATTTGCTTCAGGACATTAAAGCTCAGCAATCCAAGCTGTAAGTGCCATTTTTCAATTTATTAGTACTCAATTGTTAATCAACCCAGATCGCTTCATACTGTATACTAAAAGCTTGTTTCTTCACCTTTGGTTTGCAGTTGGTGACCTGAACCACTTGATTTCTGCAACCATGAGTGGGGTAACTTGCTGCCTGAGGTTTCCTGGCCAGCTCAACTCTGACCTGCGAAAGCTTGCTGTGAACCTAATCCCATTCCCATGTCTTCATTTCTTCATGGTCGGCTTTGCACCACTCACTTCTCGCAGGTCTCAAAGTTATGTCTCTCTCTCAGTCCCAGAGCTGACCCAGCAAATGTGGGATGCAAAGAACATGATGTGTGCTGCTGTCCCACGCCACGGACGCTACTTAACAGCCTCAGCCATGTTCAGGGGAAAGATGAGCACCAAGGAGGTGGATGAGCAGATGATCAACGTGCCTCGCGCTGTGTTCGTAGATCTGGAACCCACTGTCATCGACGAGGTCAGAACCGGAACCTACCGCCAATTGTTCCACCCTGAGCAACTCATCAGCGGCAAGGAAGACGCCGCCAACAACTTTGCCAGAGGCCATTATACCATTGGGAAAGAGATTGTGGATCTGCGCCTGGATCGTATCAGGAAGCTTGCTGATAACTGCACTGGGCTTCAAGGGTTCTTGGTGTTCCATGCTGTTGGTGGTGGGACTGGATCTGGCCTTGATCTCTGCTTCTTGAAAGGCTTTCTGTTGATTACGGAAAGAAATCGAAGCTTGGATTCACTGTTTACCCATCTCCCCAGATCTCAACCTCTGTTGTTGAACCCTATAACAGTGTCTTGTCCACTCACTCTTTGCTTGAGCACACCGATGTTGCTGTACTCCTCGACAATGAGGCCATCTATGACATTTGCCGCAGATCTCTCGATATTGAGCGACCCACCTACACCAATCTCAACAGGCTCGTCTCTCAGGTATTAGAATCGTTAACTTTTTAATTATAGGTTGTTTATATCGAATAGATCGAATGGATCTCTGATTTTGTGTTTGTGTGCAGGTGATTTCATCGCTGACTGCTTCTCTTCGTTTCGATGGAGCTCTGAATGTGGATGTGAACGAGTTCCAGACCAATTTGGTCCCATACCCAAGAATTCATTTCATGCTTTCTTCATATGCCCCTGTTATCTCTGCAGAAAAGGCCTACCACGAGCAGTGAAGTCAAGCGTGTGTGATATTCCGCCAACAGGCTTGAAGATGGCATCGACTTTTGTGGGGAACTCCACGTCAATCCAAGAGATGTTTAGAAGAGTGAGCGAGCAGTTCACAGCCATGTTCAGGCGTAAGGCGTTTTTGCATTGGTACACAGGAGAGGGAATGGATGAGATGGAGTTCACGGAGGCAGAGAGCAACATGAATGATTTGGTGGCAGAGTACCAACAATACCAAGATGCCACTGCTGATGATGAGGGAGAGTATGAGGATGAGGGTGTCGAAGAGAATTATGAGGGCTAAGCACTGAAACAATTGTGGCAGTTATATACCTCAGGAACCAAAGTAAGGTTTGGTTGAATTGGCTCCCTTCTTTTTTGTGTGTGTTCTATCTACTACTTTACCTTCTTCTGTCAAACTCTATTTCATCTTTTTCTGTCAAACCTTCAGCTTTCTGGTTGTTCTATTTCTATTTTGGTATATAATGATTGATTGATATTATTGTTTGTTCTGTTCTAGCATTTGAATAATAAATTCTCCCTGTAGAACAGAGCCATAGGGCCCTATATGCCCCAGGAGTATACAGTAATTTTCTCAGTAGAAGGTATGGGATAGGCTTTCTGTCTCTCTCTCTCTCAAACTGCCGTTCAACTATTGCTTAGAGGCTCCTTGCTATTTATTAATCACCGAGGCTATGCATGATTATCAAAATCCTGATTCTTATTATAGAATTTTAAGATCTTACCACTATTGTTTAGCAAAACTGTTTGGATCGATTTAAAATTTTGTAAAAGAATTATGATCTTAATTACAAAATCATATAAAATTGCATTTTGGTCTTGATTAGAATTTTGTCAACTTATATGTATATAGGGTCACCTACATAATGCTGATAAATTTACAATTCGGTATACATTTTCATACACTTATATTTATTTTTCAAATATTTTAATATACTTCTTACATTCATACAAATATTAGCATTTCCCATATATATATATATATATATATTATTTAAATGTCTGTTTTTAACTTTTTTAAAAAATATTATAACAGAAGCTTTCTATCCAAGTGTCTCTTATAAAGAAATTTTCATTTGAGAACCTGATAAAGAATGTAAGTCTCTCCATATAAAGGATATTTTTTCAAATTATTTGAATGAAGATATTTAAAGAAGAGAGTGAATTTTTTGATTTCTCTATAAAATCAGAACTAGTGAGTTCAATTTATTATTTGAATTAAATTATTTCGTGAAAGAATTAAATATTTAATTTCTGCCCAAAAACCAGTATTAGTGACCTTTTTATCAATTGTCATTAATATGTATAATTAGTAAGTGTTAAGAATAATTTTATGTTGATATAAAGTGTAAAGATAGACTAACAAAATTTCTAATTTTTGTATAGAAATTTCATATAGAACAATGTGGCAAGCAATTCTGTTTGTACAACACTTTGGTCTCGTTGCACTAATTGTCTCATTACACACTACAAAAAAATTCAAAATTTTAATTGTCTTTTTACATCCTCAATATATACAATCCTCGCATTATCTTCTTATACCTATTTTCCCTTCTCTCTCTTCTCCATTCTTTTCTTCTTCCTTGAACCACTTCTGGCTGCCATTGCTGCCACGTCAGACCACCTAGCCCTCAATTTTTCCTTATTAAGACCCCTCTTTTCTACCAACGACCTCTCCCCAACTTCCTATCTCATCAGCAATTCCAACTGACGATCCCTTCCTGCTTACATGATCCCTTTGCAATCCCCTTCCCTGCGAACCCTTCTCTAGTTTCTTCCTTGCATATGTGAATCCCTCTCCAACATCTTCCCCTCGACTTCCTCCCTAAATTTAGGGTTTTTAGACTTATGCTGTGTTTGGTTGAAGGATTTGGAGAGGAATTTGGAAATGAAAAGTGAAAGGGAAAATGTGTGTGAAACTAGATGAAATGTAGGTATATTTTATTTACATTTCACCAAACTTTTCCCTTTCCCTTTCCCTTTCCCTTTCCCTTTCCAATCCCTCTTCAAATCCTCCAACCAAACACAGCATTAGGGTTTGAAAATTGCAGAGGAGGAGGAGGAGGTCGCAGAGGGATTAGGGAAAGGCAATGACAGAAAGAGACGATGAGGAAAGCGATAATGAGTTATAGAAAGATAACGAGGAGGGGAGGGCATGTGAAAAATGCAATAGTGTGGAGAAAAAGGGAGGTGATCACACCAATAACGTATTGAGGACGAGGTGGCGCCAATGGTGAAGATTGCGATAGCGGTTGATTGGAGATGGGGTGATAAGAGAAATTAGGGTTTCAAACTTTATAGTTTGTGGAGTTAAATGTAATTTTATATAAGAATAAAATTGTAATAAAATAAAAAAAATTGAAAGTGAGGTGTGTATTGAGGTAAAATAATTGTGTAGGTAGAATAACTCCAATGCGGCTTTTATGGTATTTATTCTCAATCAAAAAATTTATTATTATCCTCTAAAATAATTGTGTAGGTAGAATAACTCCAATGCGGCTTTTATGGTATTTATTCTCAATCAAAAAATTTATTATTATCCTCGCAATTTTATAAACGTCATTCACACATCATTTTGAATGTGTGTCTCGTATAAACTTTATATTTAGAAATCATTTCCTTAATATAAAAGATATATCATATCAAATTTATTATTTTTTAATAATTTTAATAATTGTTTAATATACATTATTATTAATATTTTTTTCTCTTTATTTTTATTAAAAAATAAAATTTTACAATTTTTCTTTCAGTTAACCTCACGTATTATAGTACAATTAGATTGACTTCTTAGCTGCTTTTTTTGTTGACTCTTTTTGGGCAAATTATATTAGTAGTTCTTGTAGTTTAAAATTTGTATCATTTTAATTTTTGATTTTTTAATTGTGATATTTTTGATCTTAAATTTTAAATCTTATTCCAAATAAGAATAATAAAAAATGTTTCATTTGCAAACAATCTATTTTAAGGATAAAGTTGGCACACGTCTTATTTTGTGTTGAAACTAATATGTTGTTTTGTAATGCCTTTTTTTTTAGTTAATAATGTTGGAATTTATTGGTTATAAAGTTCTATTTGGTTTTGTTTTCATAATCTATTTTCAGAATTTTTTTTGTAAGAAATTAAAAATTAAATTGGTGAAAAAAAATTAAAAACACATCATTTTAATATAATTTTATCTTTTGGGAGGGGAGAAATAATTTTTTAAAATATTTTTTTATACTTATTTTCATTAAATTAGTTTCTATTTTTTTAATAGTTAAACATGACAACAATTTTGATGTCATTATTAAACCAATCCATTAAATCAAAAAATTCAAAAATAAAAACATTTCATATATTAAACATATCGATTACACATTAGAAACCTAATAACTATTCATTACATGATAACCATAAAAAATACAATTGTGATAGAAACCTCTACACATACATGACTCTCACAACTCTCACTCTCATCCCAACCATATGAGGCCCATAACTCTCACAACTCCCCCTAACCATATGAGACCCACACATATATGAGTGGACTCCACGCACACATCAAGGGCCAAGTTCGAATTGGGGGTCATGATATCCCAAAAAAGGGGCCCCAAACATTTTTGTATATCTGTTAATAATAAATATAACCATTTATTACATGATAACCATCCAAAAATATTAACAAAAACAATCAACACCTAATACATGATCATCATCCAAACACATATTAAAAATTAATTTGTAAAAAAATAAAAATATAAAAAATTTATCATTTTTATATAATTTTTATCTTTGGTCTAGAAATAATTTTTAAAAATTAAAAAATAATTTTTTGACATTTATTTTTGTCAAATTAATTTATATTTTATCAAATTGATAATTTTATCCTTAAAATTGATCAATAGTATATTTAATTATCTTTATTTAAAATGAGATTTAAAATTTAAAATTAAATAGATTATAATTAAAATGTTAGAGATTAAAATGACATAAATTCTAAATTACGAAGACGGTTATTGTAATTTGTCCTTTTCTTTATTGAAAAAAGTTTTATACTTCTCCTTGATTAGACGGTTCAAAAAAGTTTTGAAAGAAAAAATTTAAAAGTTAGAAAAAAAAAGTCTACAAAAGAAAAAAGAAAATAAAAGAAAAAAAAAGCAAGCCAAAGCGAGTTTTATTTTTTATTGACTTTATTTTTATTTTAATTTTTTTTTATCTTTTGATTCTTCTATACGGAACCTTAAAAAAAAAGAAAAAAAAAGAAAGAAAGAAACATAAATTTTTTTAAAATCACTAAAAAAAAAAAATACTATTACTAGGTGGATCCCAAATATCGACCCATTGGTTAACGGATTTAGGGTGCCTTCAAGGGGTGTTCACGGTTCAGATTTGGACAGTTTACGAATCGGTTTGGACCTGCCTGCATCTATGCGGTTGGTGAAAAACACAAACCGCAACCGGCCGCATTGCGGTTTGTGATTTGTTTGGATAGGGTTCGTGGATGTGCGGACGGTTTTCAGATTGGACTTTTTTCTTTAAAAATTTATTTTTGAATCTTATTTTTTTTCCATTTTGTAAATATTTATTTTGGACCATTTTCTCCCTATTTTCTAAAATGTTCCAACATTAATAATTAATGAATTAAAACTTATAAAATTAAAAACATAACAAAATCAATTCGTAACACAAACAAATCATTCAAAATCTTAAATTAAATTATAAACTAACACAAGCACATAAACGAACACAAATCATAAACTAACACAAGCACATATTTCAAAATCCTAAACTAGAACTCCATATTCATTAAGGAATTTAAAAATCCAAATCACACTTCATCTGGGGCAAGTTTAGTTATGTAACAATAATAATATGATTAGTATTTATTCAGTTTCAGTTGATATAATACTATTAGCAAATGCAATGCTAGAATAAGTTCAAAGAATAAAGGGTGTTTTGTTTTGGGCAAAAATATCTAGGTAAGATATAGAAATGAAATCAATAGTTAAGATAAAAAAAAAATAATAAATAAATAAATAAGTGCGGTGCGGGTTCTTGTGGGTGCGGGTTAAACCTGCAACCCGCAAACATGCCATATTTCAAATCGTATCGGCCCGCATTGTGTTTGTGAAACCGCCCATTTGTATGCGAGTTGGGTGGTTTTTTCGGATCGGATAAATCGTTGTCCACTACTAGTGTCTGCTATACCCCCAGCATACCAGGCACTGCTGTACTGTTCTATGGGCTCATTTCGGAGTCCATCTCGATGATCTAAATCATCACATTTTAGAGTATATCGAGCAGAATATACTTGTAAAAATAAATGACATTGCGATTTAAAGTATTAAAATGAATATAAATGTGAGTGAATGAAAGGATTAACGATATCCGATTAACTTGAATTTTTCCAAGCATATTTTACTCGATATACTCTAACATGTGAACGGTTTGAATTATCAAAACGAATCTCGAAATGAGCTCATAAGGCAACATAGCAATGCCTGTTGTATTGGGAGTATAGCAGACACTCCAAATCCTTAGTTAACATGCCAACAGAGCAATGCTAACTATTATAAAAAATAATATGTAAGATTTTTGATAAATTTCACTAACATTTTTATTATTTTTTTTCTGTCACTATTAATTCGTCACCATTAATTACTTGTGAGTTGGTTGTGACTTATTAAAATCACCTTTGGAAAACAAAGGCTTACCTGTGACCCCCCTTAAAAGGGCAAGAATATGTAAAAGTTAATTTGCAGAGTTACTCCTTACTTTATATTACTTGAAGACTTTTCTTCCATAAAAAAAAAAAAAGAAAAAAAGAAAAGACTTTCCTTGTTGGGAGTGATATTGCAAATGTGTTTGGAAAAAATACCAATAAATCTTATTTTGCTATTAAGATTACTATTAAATTCTATCAAGTGTTAATATAGACAACTAAGGCCTCGTTTGAAAACCCTCATATTTAGATAAAAAGTCAAAAAGTTACTAAATTAGCAAAAAAGCTACCAATCCATACCAAAAAATCAATGATTCTTTTTTTTCTCTACTTTTTGCACATTTTTTCGTAAAAAGTTAAAAAGTCATCCCAAACATACTAGTTTTTTTAGCTCATATTTTAGCTAAATAGCCAAAAAATTACTAATTTAGCCTGTTCCCAAATGAGACCTAAGTCTTGTTTGTCATAAAACATTCCCAAAATGTTCATTCTTCAATAATGAGATACCTTATTCCATTTTTACCTCTCATTTAATATGAACAACAATTTTATAAATATTTTAATCCAAGTAAAATTATATTTTTAATTGTAAAAATTATGATATTGTATTAAAAAATAATAAATCACAATAAAAAAAATTCCCAAGAAGATTTATTTTATTTTGAAAATTACTATTGAGTTATATCAAATTTCAATATTAATAAATAAGTCCCATTTATTATGAACAACAATTTTAACTTAATTAAATTTAAAATTTTAATTGTAAAAATTATTAATATTGTATTAAAAAAATCATAAATAACAATTGAATCGAAACAATTATAGTATAAAATACATCATTTTTTGTTATCCCAAGTTATGATTTTTTTTTAGTGTAACAGGGGTAATTCTATTAAAATTCTAAAGAGTTATGAAAAATATATGTATTTGTCAAATAGGTGATAAATCTTATTCTTATGCCTTTATTTATGAAAATTTCATTTAATTTTAGAATTAAAAATAATTTTATTATAAATTTTATATAAAATAACTCAATAGTAATTTTCAAAACAAAATAAATCTTATTGGTAATTTTTTATTGTGATTTATGATTTTTTTCATACAATATCATAATTTTTACAATTAAAAATATAATTTTACTTGGATTAAAATATTTATAAAATTATTGTTCATATTAAATGAGAGGTAAAAATGAGATAAGGTATCTCATTATGGAATAATGAACTTCTTGGGAATATTTCATGACAAATAGAATTTAGTTGTCTATATTGAAACTTGATAGGATTCAATAGTAATCTTAAAAGCAAAATAGGACTTATTGATATTTTTGTCAATTTTTTTTTCTTAATTACCTTTTATTTTTCATCTCCATACTAATGAATAAAAATATTAATATATCGAACCCACAAAATCTGTTTTGTTAGAATGGCATTCAATACGCATACTACATATCTATCTGTCCACATTAAAAGAGATTCTCCACACAATTTTGTCATTTTTTAGTATTTACATTTAAGGTTGTGGTTACAAAGCAATCTTTTTAAACTTATATAGAAAACAATACAATCTCTATATGCAATTTTTTTTCCCCTACATTTGTTGTCTTGAGGGACTATTTGGTAATTTTCTCTTTCTATGACCGTTTCCATTTCTATGGTACTCTTTTATCATAATTTTTAAATGGTAATTGCGTGCCCCATACATCCATTAGTCAGTGAATAATTAATTTTTTTTTTTGGCCATAATAAGTTAGATTATGATGAAGGAATTGTAGTCGTTCCATCAACTGAAACCTTAAATTTCAAACATCCTCACTATCCTAAGTGATAGTTACATGGATCAGTAGACAGATTCTCCAGTCCGCCTATAAATAATTTACAAATAAGTCGGTTTTGCCATTTTTTCATCTAGAGAAATACTAGGCTATTATTTTTGGGTAAACTATCAATAGGTCCTAATAGTTAGACTTAATTCCTATCAAGTCCTATTGAAAATAATTTTTGATAAAATTGTCACTAAAAATATTTTTTTTGTGATAATTTTTTACATACGTTGCTAAAAATTGATAATTAGTGACTTTTTTTTGTCATAATTTTTATAAATTATCGCTAAAACTTATAATTAGTGACATTTTTTTATGATAAATTTTTTTCATTGGACTTTATTAGACAATAAGTCCATTTATTAGGACCTATACGTAAATATCCAAATTTTTTTGGAGTAATATTAGAAATCATGAAAAAAATATCATGAAATGTATCATGAAAATTTTTCATCATTTGATTAGTATGTGATATTTTATTTTACAACAATGCTAGTTATCATGAAAAACTTTTCGTGAAAATAATCATGAAAGTTTTGTAACCCTTGAATTACGCTTAGAATGAAATACCACACACTAATCAAGATAATCCAAGGATCATAACTCTCTCATGATCATTTTCATGAAATTTTTTTTATGATTCCTAACTTTCTCTTTATTTTATGTATAATTTAAAAGTGAAAAATTTTTCATGATCTTCGTGATAGTTTTTTTTTTTTAATGATTGATAGCATTACTCATTTTTTCCCAGTGCCTCTATATATATATGTATTTCCATATCTAAGGTCCTTACACCAAAAAAACCTATCTATACTTGTTCTTGAAAGGTGAAGTTCCTTCTCTGTACCCTTGAATATGGGTCGAATGGTGGAGTACGAGTTTATTGCTGATGAACGTGTTCGGAGGCAAACGTTTCGGAAAAGAAAGGCTGGATTGTTGAAGAAGCTGAGCGAGCTTAAAACTCTATGTTCTGTTGATGCATGTGCTATAATATATCCTACTAATACAACTGGATCTGTTGCTCAACCAGATGTTTGGCCTTCTCCATCTGAAGCAAACCATTTGCTACAAAGGTTTAAAAACTTGCCTAGTCCGCAACAAGCAGCTAACATGATGAACCAAGAAAAATTCCTTACCCAAAACATATTGAGAGTGAGTAAGAATTTCGACAAGGAAAAGCAGAAAAATCGGGGGTTTGACATTGAACAACAAATGATCAAATTATTGTTTGAAAAAAATTTGCATGATTTTAGCAACTTGGATGATCTGAGAGATGTCGCTTCCCTTTTGGATGCGAAGATTAATCTGGTGAACGATAAGATTGAAAACCTCGCGCGTGATGAGAATGGGAACGAGATTAGGAGTGGATCAAGGTGCGGCAAAGAGAAACAACAATCCATTTGAAGATAAGCACCGATGAAGCAGATCCTTTGGGCAGCGGTGTATCATGAAAGTTCAATTCTGAGTGTGTTTAGTTGTGCTTTTTTTGTAATGAAGTTCCCTTTCGTGTTATCTGAAAAAAAATGTATTTCCATTTTAAAAATTCCGAGTTTTTTAATGTCACAAACTTTGTTGGATTATTTGCTTTTCTACATCTAACCCCTTGATATATTTTTTTTAATTAACTTTAATAATGATTATCATATGGTAAGTTGAACACACATGCATAGCATGGATGTTACTCATTCAAAAGAATAATGTGCTTAAATACTTGACTTGAACCATTTTCAGCTTATATACCCCTTAAAAACTTTCAGGGATTTCCACCAGCATGGGCAGCTGCTTAAAGGCACGAACAGTTCCTTTGTTGCTTTAATTCCCAAGGAGGAAAGTCCAAACAATTTGTCTGACTTTAGGCCCATAAGCTTAATTGGATCTATTTACAAAATTTTGGCTAAGGTTTTGTCAATTAGACTGAAGCTGATTCTACTGAGGGTACTAGGGGATGTGTAATCAACTTTTGTTGGCGGTAGGAATATCTTGGATGGTGTGCTCATTGCCAACGAAGTAGTGGACTGGTGGAAAAGAACAAAAAAGAAAGGTTTGATCCTAAAACTTGATTTCAAGAAAGCATACGACTGTAAATTGGGACTTTTGTTCTCTATGCTTTCCAAGTTTGGATTTGGCTTTCAATGGATTTCATGGATGAAAACTTGTGTGTCCACTACCAGAATCTCAGTGTTGGTGAATGGATCCCCAACACTTGAATGGCCTGAAAGAAGGCTTAGGCAGGGGGACCCCCTCTCACCTTTATTATTCAATTTGGTGGCTGAAGGACTCAATATTCTGATGGTAAGAGCATAGGAATTGGGTCTGTTTAAGGGTGCAAATATTGGGCAAAATGAGGATGTCTTGACACACTCACAATTTGTAGACGACACAATCTTCTTTTGTGAAGCAGAATGGGCGGAGGTTATGAACTTAAAGAGATCTTAAGAAGCTTTGAGATCATGTCTGGCCTTAAAATTAATTTTCACAAGAGCAGTGCGTGTGGTTTTGGTGTTCCTGAAGATTTAGTAGATGGCTTTGCATCAGGACTAAACTGTTCAAATCAAAAGCTACCATTCACTTACCTAGGACTGCCACTTGGCGTGAACCCAAGAAAGAAGAGTACATGGGAGCCTGTTATTGCTAAATTCAGAATGAGGCTTGCTTCATGGAAAAGAAAGTTCCTCTCATTTGGTGGAAGACTCACCTTGATTAGGTCAGTTCTATCTAGTCTACCAATTTATTATTTGTCCCTACATAAGATGCCTTAGGGAGTTGCAAGAAATATTGAAACATTTCAAGCTACTTTTCTCTAGGGAGGATCTGATTTGAGAAAGAAGGTGCATATGGTCAAATGGGAAGAGATTACAAAGAGCAACGAACATGCGGGGCTGGGTATAAGAAGACTTAGAGAGTTCAATGATTCTTTGATTGCAAAGTGGTGGTGGAGATTTGGGGTTGAAGTAAAGGCCCTGTGGAGAAAAATCATTTGCTGCAGGCATGGATTTTATGGAGGTGGTTGGTTCCATAAAATAATCCCAGTCTTAGGAACTATTTTGTATCTAACATTGAGATTGCTATTGGTAATGGGAACAGAATTCAGTTTTGGAGAGATGTTTGGATTGGAACTCAACCAATCAAGGAGAAGTTCCCCACACTTTTTGAATTATCAACAAACAAAGATGGTCCTTTGAGTTTGTTTTTGGATTGTGAAGGCAGAGTTGGGTCCTGGATGGTGCCCTTTTGAAGAGCATTGCATGCCTGGGAGGATGAGGAGGTTTCTAGGCTGCTAAGTATGTTGAGTGCAGCTGCCTTTGTGCTATCAAATCATGATGATTAACTTAGATGGAAAGGCTCCACTTCAGCTCAGTTTAAAGTATCTGTTTTGTATTTTAGAATTGAGAATGGTGCATCTACGTGCTTTCATATTTCTGATTTTCTGTGCAGAAATGTTGCTCCTCCAAAGGTGCAATTTCTAGGTTGGCTAGCTTGAAGGCATCAAATTAAAACATCTGATTTCTTACAAAGAATTGGAGTGATTGATGCTAATGCTTGTAACATGTGCATTTTTTGCAATTCTGAATTGGAAATGGTTGCATGTGTTGATGGTGTGCCCTCTAATCTGGAAAATTTGGTCTGAGTTGATAGATTGGTGGGGAGTTCAGTGGGTGATGCCAGGATCCTTAAGTGGATTGTTTGATTGGTGGGCTGGGTACAAATACAAGAACCTGGAAGCAAAGACATGGAAAGCTGTACTGTTGGCAGCACTGTGGTCGATTTGGAAACACAGAAATAAGTGCAAATTCAGGGAAAAGCAGTCAAATCTGGAAAATCTCAATGAGTTAATAAAGATTAGAGTGGCTATTTGGGTTAAGAGCAATGCAAGAAGGCTATACTACTCAGTCCAGGATTTTGTGTCCGACTTCGCTCAAATCAAAACCTCTGCTAAGGCTATACGGTATTGACTGAAGCTGTGGGTTTTGGTGTCTTGCTGCTGGTCTGGTGGCTTATTGGGTGGTTTGGAGGCTGTAGAAATGCTTCCCAAAGTGGCAGTCTGATTTTCCATCAGCAGCAGCAACATTTTGGTGCCTTCTTGTCAGTTTGTATGGTCCTTTCCCCTGTTTTGCTTTCTTTGTTGGTTGGTTGCTCACCAACCTTGAGTTGTGCTTGCAAATGATAGGGCTTGTTGTTTGGTACCAACCTAGTTGGGATGTTTAGTGTAGTCGTGATGCTTTCTGCACTTCCATCCTTTTTTTATTGATGTATGTCTTATGTGTTGTACATTGTCATTCATGAATAAATCCCCTCTTTTTTGCTGAGAAGAAAGAAAAAGAAAAACTTTGAGGTGCATAAAATTTAGTTTTGATTCACGAGACTCTCCAAATGATTTAACGGCCTTCATGTTATGATAATGCATTGGTATCACCATTGAAGTGTTACAAAGTTGGGGTTCATGAAGTTTTAATCCAAGCATTACACCATCAATGTTAATTATTTTTTATGAAATTAAATATGATGAGATTGTTGATAGGATTCTGAATAATAACTTAGATGATGGAGGATTAAATATATTATAAGATTATGAACAAAATTATGAGGGATAAAACATACCATGAATAAATAAATGGGATAAAAGATTAGATGGAGAAAATAAGATATTTTGTGTGGTTAGGATGAGATAAAAATGATATAATTATTTTTTACAATTGGATGAACGTAAGAAATAATTTGGAGAGGCTTAGGCCTCGTTTGAGAACAGGCTATTTTAGTAACTTTTTGACTTTTTACGAAAAGATGTGCAGAAAAGTAGAGAGGTGATGTGACTAGTTTTAGTTGGCTTTTTGGCTAAAATAGTCAGTCCCCAAACGAGGCCTTAGGCCTCGTTTGGGAACAGGCTAATTTAGTAACTTTTTGGCTATTTGGCTAAAAATGTAGGTAAAAAAAACTTGTATGTTTGGGATGGCTTTTTGGCTAATTACGAAAAGATGTGCAAAGAGTAGAAAGAAAAGAGAACCTTTGACTTTTTGGTATTGGTGTTGGCTTTTGGCTAATTTAGTAACTTTTTGGCTAATTGACTAAAATAGCCTCTTGCCAAACGAGGCCTTAATCTCCTTAGTATCACAAGACCTGTAGCATTGTTTTAATCCTCCATTTTCTCCATTTAATCCATTATTCCAGTATTAAAGTTATTTGGAGTTTTAATATCATATTAAAAAAATATCAGATTAAAATACACGTGAGCCTAATCATTCCTCATATATAATCCTACCATTTTTATCTTGCAATCAAATATGAGATTAAAAATTGATGAGTCATACATATTCCTTACACTTTTTATCAGATATATTGCAATTCTTCCATCAACTGAATAAGAAAAATATTTGAGTCCTTCAAAATATTCTTACAATTTGACTCATAATGATGTGGTATAGTAAGTGTCCACTTTTATACTTAATTTATTACATGTGCAATTCCTTTATCACCTCATTATGATTGTGGATGAATTTATAAATTTAAAATGATGAGTATCTAACAATAAATCAAACACCCCCCCAATATGGACAATTATTGAAAACAATGAACAGGGAAATCAACCAAAATCTCTAGTTAGGGCTCCTCATTTACATTTTAGATCTGACTAGTAATATATACCGTTTAATATAAATAGAATAATCATACTCGTATTAAATTTTTAGCCATTCACACTCGTGAGAGATTAAAAGGATAAGTAAGGCATGAGATGTTCTATTTTAAATTTCTCAGTTCTTAATCGTAATGTACTTCTAAATATTAGATTAGTTCTCAAAGATTCTCCCGATTCAGTGGTTAAAAATGTAGTAGAACAGCGAGACAAATGAATTTAAGAATAAAAAAAATCATTGACCAGAGTGCAAGACGGTTAAAGAAAATCCAAATATCATTACCATACAAAGTGCCTGTTTGGCAGAAATTATAATCAGCTTATTTAAGTTTTTAGCTTAATTTAAGCTATTTTGATGTGTTTGGTTTAGTTTATAGCTTTTTGGAAGTCAGAAATCAATTTATTCTTTGAGTGGGGCAGGAGATGCTTTAAGAATAAGTCAGAAATCATCAGCTTATGTTCATAGTTATAAGGTATAAGCTGTTTAGGCATAAGCTATAAGCACTTTCCCACAGCTCTACCAAACAGGGTTAAATTTCACTCATTTAGAGAATTTACTATCACTAAGAACACGTTTGGTACGACAGAATGAAATGAAATAGGAATGAAATGATAATGTGAATGAAATTTATGGTAGAATGGAATAGAATACTCATTCTCATTTCACTATTTGGTTGACATAGGAAAATGATGTGGGAATGGAATGACCATTCCCATTCTCATGTTCGGTTTGAGTAAATTGAATGGAATAGAATGGTTACCAGACTAAACACAATTAAAATACTATTTAATCAAAATTCATTAACAGCAATACAAAATAAATAAATAAAAAAAGTAACTTATGCAAGAATGAATGTGGTAAATACATATACTTTAAAAAAAAAAAAATTCAGTC